CAATTGCAAAGAGAGAGGGGGGCAAGCTTGAGAGTTGAGAGACAGCGGCTGAAGCTTGCGAACGGCGAACCCCAACTGGAACAGCGGGCGATGGAAACTGAAAGATATGGGTTTTGATTTTTTGAACAATCTGAAATGATATGCTGATATGGGTTTTGATATAGGTAATAGGTTTTGAACTTTTGATTCTTGCAGACAGATAGATAAACTGAAATATATGGGTTTTGAACTTCTGATTCTTGTAGATTTTGTAGTTTGTAGTTGTAGAGAGAGAGGGGGGGCAAGTTCAGAGTCGAGAACGAGAATAGAGATGGAGGCGATTGGGGAGGCTGAAATGATTTGCCCTAAAAACATTTTGTTTTTTAATAATAATATAATCAAATATATATAAATTTCTGAGAAAAAAAAAAAAAAAAAAAAACTCAACCCGTCAACCCGACCCAACCCACCGAAAATATTCGGTCCGGGTTATGACCATAACCCATGTTGGGTACAATTCGGGCTCGCCCAACCCAACCAGATTCGGGTTAAGGTTGGGTTGGGACTGGGCTGGGTTGGGCCAGCCCAACTTGCAGCCCTAGTCTTGGTCATACTAAAATTTTCGCAATAACTTAGCTAAATTAACAGAATTTTACAACTGAAGTTTCGTTGGTTTTCGACTATTAGGTTTTTTAATAAATGGGGTCTTCTTTTATATTTTTTTGCCTTGCATTATTGATATACTTGCAGCTATTGCAAAACTAAAGGAAGAGAGACATGCTCATGACATAGAGCAAATAAAAAGTAGAATACTAGAGAATCAAACACAAGGTTATTAGAAAGAAAAACTAAAGTGCCTGCATCCTTGAAACTTATTTAAGGAAAAGAAAATCTATTCAGGGGAAAAAATCAAAATGTAGATTGAAATGAGAAATTTAACAAACCTCAAGATAATAGATAGGTATAAATGGAAATGCGTGCTTTGATTTCATCCTAAATTGAACACATTGAAAGGTACGTGTTGCACATTGCATGGCTAAAGGCATATTATGAGTGGACTCTTGGAGCTTTAGGGTGGGTTGCTCTGGTATTTTGAAGGAGCAAGGGATGAAAAGGGTTCGGTTGTATGGTTTGCCTCTTCACCTTTGGTGCCATGCCCTTTTTGTGACTCTTGGTGATTTATGTGGAGGGTTTGTGTCAGTTGAAGCTGATGAAACCAGGGACGCTGAATGTGTTCGTATTACAGTAGCTGATGGCAGCGTTTGCCCTCAGGTGATTTTTATTCATGATGATCGATTTTGCTATAAAATTGTGATTTGGGAAGAATACCCATGGGACCTTGTTCCGACAACGGAGAGTTTGGAAGGAAGCGATGGTTCCCAATTGATGAAAGAAGAAGTCTGGTTGAAACTTCTTAGTGAGGGTGTGAAAGGCGCCGATGAACTTCAAAGATGGATGGACGAACGGGAGTTGCAGAGGAAGATTAGAGTCGTTAGAGGAAGACTCGGTGGTCCTCACGCGTGGGATGACAGTGGCTCTGTTGGCATGGAAGGGGGGACGTGTGGTGGGCGGAGAGGTCTTACTACGGATTGCAACCTTATCCCTGATGATACTTTTAAATTCAAACGGGGGACGCGTGTAAGGGGAAGATCTGATGGGTACAAGCATGAACGGTGGAGATTTGATTCTGAAAGGAGATTTGGGATGGGCACGTGACCATTTACAGACCATGTTACCTCTGGCAGGGCACGTGACCATTTACAGACTTCAGTTCTTCCTGATTCTTCTTTTTGTGGGATGGGCTGCCTACTTCTTTGGGGCAGCATAATGGGCCTGTCTCAAATGATTTTTTTGATCCAGTTCTCTATGGGCCCAACAGAGATGCCTTCTTTGATGTGGGCAAGGGACAGAGGCCCATCTTTGGCCCTTCTTTGAAAAAGTCTCTGTTTTATGGGATGGATCCTAATCACGCAGGGACTGCTTGTTTTCGTGGATCTGGGCCACACCATAAAGACCCAAACTCTGGTTTTTCTGGTCAGCATTTAGGTAATGGGGTTGGGCCAAACAATAAAGTTTTGGCTGGACCCGGTACCCATCTTCAAAGACCTCTTTGTCCCTGCCAAAGACTTATTTGCCCAAGAGACAGGGAAAGAGTTCATACAGCTTTAAGCCAAGGAGTTCTTTTCGGACAAAAGAGAGATTTAATCGATATGTTTCCAACAAAAAATGGTTCACAATGGAGAAGCAAAAATGGGTTATGGTCAATGATACTTCCAACAAACGAGGTATAAATGGGATGAATTGTGATTCGATTGGGGGACTGGATGCTGTTTGTGATGATTCTGAAGGTGAGTTTGGCACTCCTCTTGCTGGTAGCTATTCATCTACGTAATGCTAGTGACAGAAACCAATTCACTGCTACCACAGGCAGCAAGATGAGCAGCTAAATTTGAAAGCACTAACCGGTACAAGATGTTGAGCATTTTCAACCTGTGCAAAGGTGCCTTTAATTTTGAGAGTGACCTTGTCCGGAATGCCCTCAATCTCTGACACACTAATATTTGCTCCAGTAGTATGATGAACATAAGCAGCATTGGCTCTGATCCCAATGATGTCCTCGGCCTTTCTTCATGATACTTCAGTTCCTTTAGTTACCTAAGACAATTTAAATAAAAATAATATCTAATCATAATAACAACAATAATGGTATCAAGGACCAGTAACAATTTCGATAACAAAGACATACAAATACAAAAGGCAGTAAACATAATCAGCTCTCAAACTATAAATTTGGTCTGTGGTTCACTGGATTAATCAAAAAAATTCTTTGAGAAAATGTGGAAGAAAATGGTCAAAATGAGAAAGACGAAAATGACATTTATAAGGGGTGTATCATGTATTTAAGCCTTATTATTGTAGCTTCTTTTGGTATGTTCAACTTTGATCAAATCACTCCTCCACACTGGTGTCTTGGATAACCTCTGGACAAAAAAAGTATGCAAATACACGCTCTATGGTATAAATGAGTGAGGATCATACGTGCTCCAAGTCATGGCAGTGTTTAGAATTCTGCACATGTTTAAGAGGATTTGCTTTGTTTTATTTGTATTAAAGTCCCAGATGAATCAAACAGGCCTTTGGGTAATGGCTAATTGATTAGACAAAGCATTAAAAAATTCTACACAAACATTTTGCTGCAGTCATACTAAACTCTTCGCAATAACTTGGCTAAATTAACAGAATTTTACAACTGAAGTTTCGTTAAGTCACAGCAGGCTTTCGACTATTAGGTTTTTTTTAATAAATGAGGTCTTCTTTTATATTTTTTTGCTTTGCATTATTGATATCCTTGCAGCTATTGCAAAACTAAAGGTAGAGACACATGTTCATGACATAGAGCAAATAATAAGTAGAACACTAAAGAATAAAACAGAAGGTTAATAGAAAGAAAAACTAAAGTGCATGCATCCTTGAAACTTATTTAAGGAAAAGAAAATTTATTCAGGGGAAAAAATCAAAATGTAGATTGAAATGAGAAATTTAACAAACCTCAAAATAATAGATAGGTATAAATGGAAATGCGTGCTTTGATTTCATCATAAATTGAACACATTGAAGGGCACGTGTTGCACAATGCATGGCTAAAGGCAGATAATAAGCATGAAATGCATAAGCAACAATAACATAAGTATTAGTGATAGGTATCAGGACATTGCTCGTACACATGAATTGCACATGACTCTCACCCATGCTTGGAGAATGGGCAAGGACAGACAGATTTTAGAGTTTTCCTATACATTTTAGGAATTATAATAAATATGAGTAGTTTGCAATATTTGCTTCTAATTAATATTAGTTTCTGTTTACCTATAAATAAAGTCTGTTGTCTTGCAGCTTTGTTGGAAATGAGCATAGCAATTTTCCAACTTGAAGTATAGACATGGCTACATGTCTCACAAGGCTCATGGCAGCCATTTTTATTGACTTTTATGTTTGCTGCAACTATTTTAGACTTGAGATTATACATGGTCATATGTATTGTATTGATTACTTTTTGATGAATATTGAATATTAATGAGATTGAACACATTTCTTCCCCCTCATTCTTCTCTTCTCTCTCCACTTCTCTATTCCCATCCTACATCAGTTGGTATCAGACCTCACTACACTTCCTACATCAATTAGTCTGCGCTCAGGATAGCTGAGCATGCTCCAAATTTCAGCCACAAATGACCCTATATATATCCAACCAAAATTAGCCCAAGCACATGGATGCCCCCCAGGAGAGGCAGCAGGAGGGGGGATCCGGCCTCAAATCCCTTCGCAGTCAAAGGTGAAAGTGGGAAAAAGATGACAAAATCCTTGTTTTTTTTCTCTGTCAGCCAACTCAAATGAAGAAAAACTGCAACATGAAAAAAATCAACCACGAAAGGATTGAAGGAACCAAGAACAACTAATCCATGTAAGACCATCTTCTAGGCAACTTCAATATTATAAATTTTTAAGTAGAACCATTCCCAATACACTTGATAGATTGCAGAAAAGGAAACTATACAGAATATATAAAAATCAAACAAGATGCTTAAAACCATACTATGAAAAACTATCTGAATATACAGTCTCTCTACCAAAACCAATGCCCTTGAGGATATAAATTCCAATCAAACTCAACAATACTTAAACCATTGATCATCCACTATCTCTTCCAGCAGAGATTTCAAACTCAACAATACTTACTAAAACGTGATGCTAGTGCCAGAAACCATTTCACTGCTACCACAGGCAGCAAGATGAGCAGCTAAATTTGAAAGCACTAACCGGTAAAAGATATTGAGCATTTTCAACCTGTGAATAGGTTCCTTTAATTTTGAGAATGACCTTGCCAGGAATGCCCTCAATATCATACACAGTAACTTTTGCTCCAGTAGTAAGATGAACTTCAGCAGCAATGGCACGGAAATTAAAGACCGGCTCGTTCTCCATATATGATACTTCAGTTGTTTTAGTTACCTAAGACAATTTAAATAACAATAATAAAAATAATATCTAATCATAATAACAACAATAATAGTATCAAGGATCAGTAACAATTTCGATAACAAAGACATACAAATACAAAAGGCAGTAAACATGATCAGCTCTCAAACTATAAGTTTGGTGTGTGGTTCACTGGATTTATCAAAAAAATTCTTTGAGAAAATGTGGAAGAAAATGGTCAAAATGAGAAAAGACGAAAATGACATTTATAAGGGGTGTATCATGTATTTAAGCCTTATTATTGTAGCTTCTTTTGGTATGTTAAACTTTGAACAAATCACTCCTCCATACTGGTGTCTTGGATAACCTCTGGACAAAAAAAGTATGCAAATACACGCTCTATGGTATAAATGAGTGAGGATCATGTGTGCTCCAAGTCAAGGCAGTGTTTAGAATTCTGCACATGTTTAAGAGGATTTGCTTTGTTTAATTTGTAATAAAGTCCAAGATGAATCAAACAGGCCTTTTGGTAATGGCTAATTGATTGGACAAAGCATTTAAAAATTCTACGCAAGCATTTTGCTGCTCGATCACTTGTCTGGGTCATACTAAAATCTTCGCAATAACTTGGCTAAATTAACAGAATTTTACAACTGAAGTTTAGCTAAGTCACAGCAGGCTTTCAACTATTAGGTTTTTTTAATAAATGGGGTCTTCTTTTATATGTTTTTGCTTTGAATTATTGATATACAAGCAGCTATTGCAAAACTAAAGGTAGAGACACATGTTCATGACATAGAGCAAATAAAAAGTAGAACACTAAAGAATAAAACAGAAGGTTAATAGAAAGAAAAACTGAAGTGCATGCATCCTTGAAACTTATTTAAGGAAAAGAAAATTTATTCAGGGGAAAAAATCAAAATGTAGATTGAAATGAGAAATTTAACAAACCTCAAAAAATCAAAATGGAAATGCGTGCTTTGATTTCTTCATAAATTGAACACATTGAAGGGCATGTGTTGCACATTGCATGGCTAAAGGCAGATAATAAGCTTGAAATGCATAAGCAACAATAACATAAGTATTAGTGATGGATATCAGGACATTGCCCGTACACATGAATTGCACATGACTCTCACCCATGCTTGGAGAATGGGCAAGGACAGACAGATTTTAGAGTTTTCCTATACATTTTAGGAATTATAATAAATATGAGTAGTTTGCAATATTTGCTTCTAATTAATATTAGTTTCTGTTTACCTATAAATAAGGTCTGTTGTCTTGCAGCTTTGTTGGAAATGAGCATAGCAATTTTCCAACTTAAAGTATACACATGGCTACATGTCTCACAAGGCTCATGGCAGCCATTTTTATTGACTTTTATGTTTGCTGCAACTATTTTAGACTTGAGATTATACATGGTCATATGTATTGTATTGATTACTTTTTGATGAATATTGAGTATTAATGAGATTGAACACAGATTTCTTCCCCCTCATTCTTCTCTTCTCTCTCCACTTCTCTATTCCCATCCTACATCAGTTGGTATCAGACCTCACTACACTTCCTACACCAATTAGTCTTCGCTCAGGATAGCTGAGCATGCTCCAAATTTCAGCCATAAATGACCCTGTATATATCCAACCAAAATTAGACCAAGCACAATGATGCCCACCAGGAGAGGCAGGGGAGGGGGGATCCGGCCTCAAATCCCTTCACAGTCAAAGGTGAAAGTGGGAAAAAGATGACAAAATCCTATTTTTTTTCTTTGTCAGCCAACTCAAATGAAGAAAAACTGCAACATGAAAAAAATCAACCACAAAAGGATTGAAGGAACCAAGAACAACTAATCCATGTAAGACCATCTTCTAGGCAACTTCAATATTATAAATTTTTAAGTAGAACCATTCCCAATACACTTGATAGATTACAGAAAAGGAAACTTATACAGAATATATAAAAATCAAACAAGATGCTTAAAACAATACTATGAAAAACCATCTGAATATACAGTCTCTCTACCAAAACCAGTGCCCTTGAGGATGTAAATTCCAATCAAACTCAACAATACTTAAACCATTGATCATCCACTATCTCTTGCAGCGATTTCAAACTCAACAATACTTAAACCATTGATCATCCACTATCTCTTGCAGCAGAGATTTCAACAAGATGCTTGGCTCATTCTGAACACAAAGACAGACGTCCCTCATCAGTTCTCTAGCTTAAATGAGGCCTAACTAAAGTCATGTTTGCTTTATCAGAAAAGACAATGAAGAGTTTGAAAGGGTGAAGTTTCAGAAAACTGCTAATGAATTGCTATCAGAATGATCCCTTTTTTGTCCGCTATCATTGTCAGATTCATTGAGGGTATCATTTCACCCAAAATGTGATTATCTTGAAATCCTAATAGCATTATTCAGCTTTTCTCTACCGTTATATACCTTCAATACAAAATAAAATGAACAAGTTTGACCCAAACAAACATTAAGACAAGGCAGATATTGCAGGAATAGAGAAATAAACAATGCACATGGTATGAACCTTCTTTAAGAGAACCAAACTCTGATTTTCATGCTGCATAGGATTCCTCCATAAGATATAAGAAAAACTAGGAAAATTTGACCCCACAAAAAATATAGAATGCAACACTCGAAAGTGTCGACAGATTAGAGAATCAATGCAAGAAAGCTACATATAATAAGATCTAAGCTTACAGCAAACAATAAAAGAAGTCCATCTATTAGGGAGCAACGCCGGGAGAAAAAGAAATTCATGTATCAAAAAAATTTAATAAGGTCCATAACTAACGCACATGAATTTTCTAAAGACAACAAAACCTGAACAACTATTCCAGAAGGGTGAAAAATCAAATAATTACTACTCTATAAACAAAAGGGATTCACAACAATTTTACGTGCAAAAATAAAATGAAGATCAAAATGCCTAAAACGTAAAACAATTCACATTAGTTTATTAACACTAAACTTTTCGTATTTACATAAACAAAAATAAGTGAATATACAAATGCAGAATTGTCATTTCCAATTTCCAAAGGCTGTAATTAGAGAAAAAGAAAGCTCATAATGCTCATGCTTTACAAAGAAACTCAACAATTTAATGCATCAAACGGACGCTAACGCCACCACTCAGATGACATTATACACGACACCTTTCAAAACATCAAGTAAGACTTCTCCAAAGTGACTCTTCCTCAAATATCTTGACGCTTTTTTTCTTATTGTACTTGAAGGGTAGGAGGTTCACATCCTGAAACTTGATCCAAAATATACATCAGGTTTTGTCTAGGTACCCTTACCAAAAGATAAAGAAGGTGAAAAGGGAGGATGAGCTTTGCCAAAGAAAGATACCACAACAGAGAGAATCCTCATACCAGTTGCTGGTTACAGCAGAGTATCTTTATATCACCCACACAACATAAAATTCACACTAATTTAATGCCACGGTAGACTTGCAGCTCTTTACGCCTTATTTGAACCCTAATCAGCTCTGGCTCTCTTCAACCCCCATTAAATGGGAAACGATGAGCTTAGACTAGGTTATATTTGATAGAATTGCTCATGTAATCCAGATTTTGTATTTCTTAAATTAACCACTCAACTGAAATATTTAATAGTAGTTCAATGCAGTTACTCTGATATCCTATGCAAATTTAACTCTCTAGACCTCAATTAACAAATACCATTCAAACAGCCAGTGTCCATGCCCACAATAAGAGGCAACAACTTAAGGAGGACCAAGTCTATAGCCTCAGATGAAATAGACAATTTGTAAAGAATGCCCACATCACAAAGACCCCTAGATAAAAATAATAAAACTTAAAAAAGACAACATTAAAACATTCTTTGATATGGCAATCGTGGGAACTGAGATGAGACATTATAGTATACATATTTGAATTACTTACAGTATGCAATGAGGACAAACTTCCAGCATAGGATGAGGAGAAAGGTGCTCCAGGACCACCTAAACTAGGCATATGTTTATTTAAATTGTTTAAGATTAGGTGAAGATACACCATGTGCTCAACCTATACTGGAAGGCATACCAACAATTGGTGACAATATACCACGTCCAACGGAACAAAATTGTTGCGAACCCAAAGTTGTCTGTCCTTGCTGTGTCATCCCAACAATGAGAAGCAGATAATGGTGCATCATGCAATAGGCTAGCCCTTTTTAGAAGAAGCTGATAAGGGTTCCCCATGCCTAGCCCTTTTTAGAAGAAGCAGATAAGGAATGGCATGTAACTTGAAAGGAGAGAAGTTTACCTGCATAGGGAAGGATGGAGCATAACTTTGAGGGTCCCTTTGATCCAACTCCAGGACGCCTACGAGGCTTTTACAGGAGGAAATTAATAATTAAAAAGCCAAAATAACAAAGCTAAACAATATAAATTATTGTAAAAAGGATTAGCATAAATATATTTTATGATATTATAACCTTGGCCAGGGAACAAAGAATGAACCAAGTACTAAAACTAATTAAGTTGAACAAAAACTCATGCCAAAGGGAAATATATAACTCTTCAAGTTAATCCGGTCAAAGATTGGCCTGAACTGTCATAATAAAGATTTTGAAAAATCCTAAATTCAATTTAGTTGACTGAAAACTCAAGCCAAAATTATTGCGCACCCAAAGTTGCATGTCCTTCTTGTGCCAGAACCTTGCGTAGCAAATGGATTTGCACATAGTGAACATATTATAGATCTTATAAGCAGATAGGGGAGCCTTGTGACTCAGAAAGGAGAAAATTTTAGAAGCAGCAGCAGATAAGGAATGACGTGACTCAGAAAGGAGCCCCACGCCGCGGGGGGGGGGGGGGGGGGGGGGGGGGAAGGAATTATTTAGAGGCACAGCTAAACAATAAAAATTATTGTAACAATGGGGGGGGGGGGAATTGAATTATTCAGAGGCCAAAATAACACAGCTTTACAATATAAATTATTGTAACAAGGATTAGCATAAATATATTTTACGATATTATAACCTTGGCCAGGGAAAAGAGAATGAGCCAAGTACTAAAACTAATTAAGTTGAACAAACACTCATGCCAAAGGGAAATATATAATTCTTCAAGTTAATCCGGTCAAAGAGTGGCCTGAGCTGTCATAATAAATATTTTGACAATATCCTAAATTCAATTTAGTTGGCTGAAAACTCAAGCCAAAGTAAATCAGCCTGTGTTTCAATACATTGAAAATGACCCAAAATTAATGGTAAATATGTGAGCAGCACAAATCTTAGCTTAAACAAATTTATAATAAAAAAAGTGAAAAAAAAAAAAAAAAAAAAAAAAAAAAAAAAAAAGTTATTATAATTTGTAACTAAAACAACGTTGGGATAAAAGATTATAAACACACAACTAATTTTTGGTTAACTCAAGTTGAAATGTTCTTATACCAAGATGAAAAATAAAAACACAAGTAAAAGTACTACCTGAAAAACAGAAGACTGAGAGATACTGGCCATTCTTGCACCTAAGAAAGCTTCTACAAAGTACAAAGAGTTGCAGAACCAACAGGTCATAAACAAAAAAAACTCAAAGATCAATAAGTTGCACAATAGGAAACTGGAGGAATTGCTACGAGATCACAAGCAAAATTGAGTAATGAACACATGACAAAGGAATAAAAATTGCAAAGGATTGCCATATATCAATCAATATATTAGATATCACCAAGTCGCAATGCGAAATTTTGACAAGGGTCAAAATTCACACAAGGCAGATAATCGCAGATACTGTTACCTTATTAATATCACGTAAAAGTCTCACTCTATCAACATCAAATATTATGTAATTAACAAACTGCAGTATTGCACTTCTAAACCTTTTGAGTCTCTATCTCACAGACACATGCAGAAATGTATTATAATGGTTCTCCTCCTTGTGGACCGTGGAGAATAGCTGGAATAACAAAACAAGTAGCTCCTCTTTGTTTTTAATTGAGCTTAAAATATAAGAATAATAGGTCTTTTGAAGGAGTGGAGTCTGCTATTTGAACTCTCAAATATGATGTGTTGAGCTCCCTAATTTTTGGTTCACTAGGAGTTTCTCCTTGTAGATGGATCCCTCGCATATCTTTTTAAGAGAGATGAGAGTACAGTTTCCGATCCTATTTCATGTACATCTTGTATGCACAGCTGCACCTCCTATTTTACTTATCATACGAGAGAGAGCACAAATTAAGATTGTTCAGCAACAAGCTACTGAAGACCAATGAGTACCACCTAGTGCCAAAGAGTAGCATAAGGTCTAGGGGCAAACAAAATAGTATTCGAGGAAAAAAAAAGAAATGGTAGCATTTGGATTAATTGAATATATGATCTTCGAAATAAAAAAATTTGAGAACAAGAACACAAGATCTATATAGCTGACCCCGAATAGATTAGACAAGATTTTGTTGAATAGAGGTGGGTTGAGAATTGAGATGCATTGACATATGTTAGCATTCACCTTACATGCTCACCGATGTATAATAATTTTGAACGTGTCTCTAACCAAAATAGTTATTACACGGCTTTGTTGAGCAAAGGTGAGACGAATACATAATCTCAATATTAACCTCATATTATCGCCAACCAATCTTGCATTATTTCCTTTCTTGAACGAAAGATTTATTTGCATTTTTTTAACAATCTGTTTCTTTTTGTGCTCGGATTTTCAAAACGTCACACACGAGACCAACTGATTCTCATGCATCCCAACCAAATAGCACAACCCTTAGTACTAGATATAGTTTCACCCAACAAGATTATCATTACTAATGCAATGCATTTTTCTAGAATTGTTAAGCAAGTAAAATATTACCGTGACCAATCCAATCCTCTATAATAACAAGTATCATCAATTTCTAAGGGGCAATATGTGGTCCCCCCACTACCCCCCTCTCCTCCTCCTCCTACACACACACCCACACCCAATAAGTTAGATTCAATTAGAAAAGTCTTAAGAGGGGAGTGCAACCCCAATACAACTGCACAAAAAAGAACTCAATATACTTTCAAAGAATCCACAAAATCCATAAATTCCTCTATAGATTTACAATACTACCCATGAACCCAAAAGAATAAATATTTCAGACTTGAGAATTAAGCACCTAAGAGGGAACATCCTCTCCAACAAACCACCTCCTATTGTGCTCCCGCCGCAAACCCCACAACAAAGAGCGGGGTAATTCTCAAGGCATCAAGGGCTGGCCTCCACACTATACAACCCTTCCAAGTCTCAAGAGGACTCCTCGTGGAATCTGGCATAACCCAATTAACGCCAAACAAAGCAAAAGAACCTCCCACCAATCCCTAGCCATGGGACAGTGCAAAAGAAGGTGGTTCACTATCTCCTCACCCCCTTAGCACATGTAGCACCAATTCGCTATAATTTGTTGCCTCCTCAAGTTATCAATCATCAATATCCTTCCAAGGCCAGCCGTCCCACCAAAAAGAGCCACCCTTGAAGGGGCTTTGGTCCTCCAAACTACCTTTCAAGGGAAAGAAACCCCCGAATATCCAACAGACTCCATTGTAAGGAACAAACTACAAATCTGCATTAACAATCACAACCCATATCCACTCATCTTCTCCCTCCCCATGCACGTCTTGGTGGTAGAGGACCGCCAATAACTCAACAACCTCATTCCACTCCCAAAAATTAAAGTGTTTCACCATCTGCCCATCCCAAGTCACTCCACATCTTGAGTGTAGAGGACCACCAAAAACTCAACAACCTCCTCCAACTCCTAATTATATAATGCGTCACCATCAGAACATCCCAAGTCGCTCTCCCACTATCCATAATTATCGGTGACTGGAAGCAATCCTGAACATTCTCGAAAAGGAACACCACGTATCAGTCAAGAATCTCACAACTCTCTCACTCATGACCCTGAAACGAATATGTTTGGAGAACTCATTCCAAACCTTCCAAATAAATTTCAAAATCCCCACCCCAGCTGGAATCCTCACCTCCCCAAACCTCCACCCTCCCCACTCCTCTCCAATATCATTTTTTTGGTCATTATGTTGGTTATACATGCCGTCATACAACCAACTCAACCCTACAATGGTTACTGACCGACTACAATCAATTGTATGAATGCAACATTACAGGGGAAACCCAAGACCCCAAATCAACCTATAATTAAACTTGCATCAAATTTAACCGGCAATAAAGAATAGCGCAGATTCTGAAAAGCATAAACCCCTACATCAGATTAGGGGCTGTGTTCAGCATTTCAGATATGAAATACGAATTGAACTAGTAATTACTAATATCCAACCACGTATGTGTGTATACATATATATATATATATAGCTACGGAAATCTTGCTCACCGATGAGTAAGAAATTTTTGGACATGATTGCCATAAGAGATCATTACTCTAGATAGCTAAAAGATATAAGAAGAAGGGTTACCTGAACAAAGACCAAGCCGATGAACGTGAAACGATTCGAGAGAGTGAGAGAGGCCAAGCTCTTTGGGCAAACAATATAAACCCTGGAGAACGAGTTGTATCTAATAACTCTGCCGCACCGGAAACATGGGTATTCAGAGGGATCAATCATGAGCAGGAGAGGCGCGAACAACTCAACTGACCTTGGCCCACTCTATGTTAGCCCAGCCCATACTAAGGGCCTTGTTATGGATTGTGTTTTTCTCAAATTTTATTCCATACCGAAAAGTTTCTTTTTGTCCTCTGTTTTTAATTTTGCCATTTTTTCTTTACTTCCCAGTACTTTCTTGCAACTGAACATAATATAAAAATGGGTTAATTTTACCTAGACCCCCTGAGGTTGGCGCATATTTCACCTAAATGGGGATTTGGTTTTTAGCGATAACTTAGACCCCAATTAGTGGCTTAACATTTTACTTATACCCCAAATGTCAATTTTTGATGTTAAATGACTATGTTATCCTTTGACCTCGTGTTGACTATTTTTTTGTGACTAAATTGCCCCCAACACACATTTCCTCCTTTTCCTCCTCTCAAACAATCGTCCCAATTAACCCACACCATCTTCTGTTGAAGAAGTGAGAGGCGAGAGTGTAGATTGGTAAAGTAAGACCTCTCTATATTTGTGAAGAGAGAGAGAAAGAATGATTCACACACATAGAGAGAGAGGAGCCCAATAAATAGAACAGGGGAGTCGAATATAGGTCGGCGATTGAGAGGGTTGGGAGATCGATTCGGCCGTGGATGACTAGCGGCGGCTTAGATGACAGCGACGGCGTGCTTGGGCGATGGCTGTGGATGACCTGCAACTGTGCACGTTTGAGTCTGACAGGCGAGGATGAGGGAGCTTGGCGATGGACGGGATGACTGAATCGGTAGCTGGCGAATGGGATGGACTCTCGGCGGTCAGCTGTGAGATCGAAGCGACTAGGATGAGGGAGCTCGGCGATGGACGAGATGACTGAATCTCAAGCTCGCCGCCGCCATCATCCGAAGCCACAAGCTCGCTATCATCCGGACGGTCCCTGAGCTTGGGTTTTCTGCAACGCGAGAACTTCTTGACGGAGATAATCGAGACCATATCGCCGAAGGACCTCCAGCCGACGGTCAAGATCTGCATCGACAATCACCAATCGCCATCGATCGCGGTAAAGAGGACCTCAAACATGCTGTAACTGCTCTCCTCAAGAAGATGTTGATCGGCACTTGTGGCGCAATTCCAGCGACGGGGTGCTGAGCTTGTCTTTGCCATGGTTTGAGTCCAATTTTGGTTCGGATTCGTCTCCGGCGGGGTTTGTTGGGCCTTGCGGGTCTCGATGGCAGCCATCGTTGCCGAGTTTGGGTTTGATTTGTAGGCTGTGGATTGTTGATTTTTTTTTTTTTTTTCTGTGGATTGTTGATTACATGGTCTGATTTTGTGAATTAAGGCATTGATTGTGGGATTGTGATTGGGTGTAAGATTTGGTTTGTTTGATTGATTACAGAGGTGGTGGTTTGTGGGTGTTTATGCATTTTTTGAGGTGGTATCTTGGTTGTTGAAGGGGAGGGGGGGCGGGGGGAGGGACCGCAGACGAAAGAGATGAAAGAGGGGCATTTATGTCATTTAAAATTAAAGATATTTTATAGTATTAAAATTTTGAGGGTAAAAATGTCCATTCGCATGTGTTTGAGGCCAAAAATCAAATTAGGGTCTAAGTGGTTAGGAGTGTCAATTTTTACCACCCCGTTAATAAAGGATATGTGAATACTTTTTATACCATTGAGGCGGGCATGAATATAAATTTTGTACCCCTCGCGGATCACGGGACGGGTAAGGGTTCAATATACATATCCTAGGGGCCCCGCCCCATTGATCATATAATTATATTTTATATATATATATATATATATATATATATATATATATATAATATTAATAATTTATTTTAGTGGCTTACTCAGTTACCATCTATTATAATCCTAATTTGGGATGTAAACTTAATACTAAATTTGCTTTTGTTTTGATTATGGTGGAAGTTGGAGCTTAGAACTTCTTGTGATTTGGTTGTATTAAACTCTTATTTTTATTTATTATGTTCATTGAATTATGTTATATGTATGTTATTTTTTTTATTTTTGTTGGGATACATAATTTCATTTATGTTGTGCCATTTCCAGGCTTTCCACATTTAAATAGTAGGAGCTTAAGTTTCAAAAAGTGAGAGAAAAAAATTTGTTAGCGGGGCGGGCACGAGGCACAGTATTTCCCAATGGGACGGGTCTGGACATGAAAATTCAATCCGTCGCTGGTCTCGGGCAGGGCACGGACTTGACAAAAATTAAACCAGGCGGGGCGGGATTTATAGAAACCCGCTTCAAACCCGCCCCGTTGCCATTCTTATAAGTGGTCGCTAAAAACCAAATCTCCATCTAAGTGAAATATGCGCCAACCTCACGGGGTCTAGGCAAAATTAACCCTATAAAAATTGCTAGTCTTCTGGTAAGATGCCTCCTGGCTCTATGTTAGCGCAGCCCATACTAAGGGCCTTGGGTGCATGTATTAATTGCTTTAACTTTCAAAAAAAAAACACTAAAAAACAAAAACAGTATATAAAATTGAATAATATTTTCTTATGCCCACCAAAGCTGAAGAAATTTAAAAAAAAAAAAAACTGAAGAAAAATTGATAGGATTTACGAAGTCTATCAAGTCTAGTATTCTATGTGGAGTGTTTGCAGTTACAATTTGAAAATTTTGGTCTATCAGAAATGCCACTCAGATTCTGACCCTTCCTTTTTCGTTAGCCACGCAATTTGAAAAAAGTCAAATTCTGGTTGCTAGATTTTAGCAACTACTACGTAGATTAGATGGCTGAATATCTTCTCCTGCATCCTATGGCTGATTTTCTTGGATACGGTCCTTTATTGAGGACATCTCTATTTCCAAAATCAATCTAAAAACTAATATTAAGATACGTCATTCGCTGAGATGTATCATTTATCACTTCTCCATCTCCCTCTCTCTCTCTCTCCTCAACATCTTTCTCTCTGTAAATCTTAGATGCAAGACCAAAATTTTCTCCATCTCCATCTTTCTCTCTCTCCTCAACCTCATTCTTTCTAAATCTTAAATACAACACCAAAATTAATTTCGCTTGCAAGCCGGATTCTTCTTGTGCTTCTTCACAGTTTAAGATGATATATCTATAAATAAAAAAAAAAAAAAAAGAGGTGATATTCGCATCCCACTTACCTTTTTCGTTTAAAGAAAATGACAAAAAGGCCTTTTAATTCATTAATGCACTATACCTTATTTTAAAATGCCATAACTATACTTTATATAACTACTTTCTTTTTTTTCTTTTTTTTTCATTTTTTTTTTACCTTCTTTAATTCCTTTACTATTTTTTTTTTCCCCTGTGCTATACTTTCTTTTCTTTCATTTTTCTTTCCGAAGGTCCTCTCAAAGAAGATAATTTATTCCATACGGATAATTTTATTTTTGGCAATTAAAAGAGATAATTTATTTTTGACTTTTTTTTGGTGCAATCAAAACAAATAAGTTATTCAACAAAATTGACTCTTTGGCAAAAAGGTAACTTTTTTTTGTTAATTTTTATGGTCCCATCAAAAGAAATAATTTATTCAATAAGTATATATATATATATATATATATATATATATATTAATCCTCTTTTTTCGTACTGTTTTTTTTTTTAAAATCTTGACAAAAGACATAATTTCTTCAATAAATATTTTTTTTGGGTTTTTTTTCCTATCAAAGAAGATAAGTATTTTAATGGTTACTTTTTTTATTTTTGGTCTGGTCAAAAGAAACAATTTATTCAATATATATATATTGGTCCTGGAAACAAAATATTATTCAATATTTCTTTTTCTTTTTTTTATCTTGCCTAAAGAGACCTAAAATATTAATATTAAAGATTAGAAACACTGTTAATGACGGCAACAACAAGCAGACACGTTTTAGAGGCGTGAGGATTTTTTTTTTTGGGTCAAGCCTGAGGAAGTTCATCAACATTGTTTGATCTTGTTGCCAACTCCATTCATTATTTATTTCATTATTTATTATTATTATTTTTGTTTCTAGGATTAATCATTTTTTTCTTTTATATTTATGTGTATATATTATCATTTTAAACTAGTGTAAGAAGCACAAGAAGTACGTATGGAAGTTATTTAAAAAGGAAAGAGAAAATTTTGGTCCTTATATCTAAGATTTAAAGAGAGAAAGAGGTTGAGGAGAGAGAGAGATTATAAATGATATGTGGCAAATGACGTGTCTTAATGAATAACGTGTTTTAATATTAGCCCTCATATTAGTTTTAGTTTTGGAGAGAGCTGGAGAGATGTCTTCAGGAGAGGATTTGCATCCATTTCCTTGATGCTTTATTAACAACACTAATCAGTTGAGAATATAAATATATATATTCTTCAGGAGATGGCTGCCAATTAGTTTTGGTGCCAACAATTTCTCTCATATATATATATATTTTGCTGATGATCTAATTTTCATTGCTAAAGCTAACTTGAGAATAACTAGATGTATATCTGCCCTTCTTGATGACTTTCTTTCATTCCATGTCTGCCTTCCTGTTAGTCATAAAAAAAAATAGTCAAAGAGTTTTCTTTCCTAAATCTGTTACTGTTAGAAGACACAGAAGTCTGAACAAGATTCTGAATAGGAGAGTGGGTTCTTTTCCAATAACCTACTTGTGTCTTCCAATGGCTGATAGAGCTCTTAAACATTCTGATTGCGAGACGTTGGCGGATAAAGTTTCAGCTAAGCTTCGCAATTAGTCTTCTTTAAATCTATATCTTGCAGGTAGGGTTGAATGAATTAAACTGTTATTTCTTCATTGTTCTACTACTAGTGTTCAGTATTCAAGCTGCCTGTCTACACTAGTTCAGTGAGAGATAAAATTATGTAATCATTTGTATCGGGAAGTAAGGAAAATGGGAAGAATATACATCTACAGAGATGGAATTATGTTACAAGACCAAAGAAAGGAGGCGGCTTTAAAATCAGGAAAATTTCAAAAATCGACAAGGCTACAAAATGCACTCTCTTCTAGAATTTTGACCAAGAGAAGAATAGAAGATGGGTTCATTGGTTTAAAGCAATTAAAGCTGATGTTCCATG